TGTGTGTGTGTGTGTGTGTGTGTGTGTGTGTGTGTGTTGCAGCACTGCGATCCTGCAGTACCTGGTGCAGAAATGCTCGGTGGCAGATCACTGGTTTCCAGCGGAGCTGCAGCAGAGAGCTCGTGTTGATGAATATTTATCCTGGCAGCATCTGAACCTCCGATCTCACTGCTCAAAGGTCTTCCTGCTCAGGGTTCGTGTCCCAGATCAGCCCCTCTGATCATTACACACTTTTAATCAGCTCACATGATGTTACAGGAAGAGTCTGACTGCTGTTGTTTATGCAATATTTGTTTAAAATCACTGTTAATCAGTAAAATTCAAACTAATGTTGAACATCTAAACCTGCAGTTTTGAGCTAATGATGGAGAATATTACAGGATATATGGATTTATTTCTCAGGGTAATTTTCTGCAATAAATTTTACAACAATCTGGATCAACAGTCAAAAGCAAAGAGACATGATGACATGTTGACGGTTTGATCAGGAAAGAACTGAGTTTATTTAATTTAACTTCTGACTAGTATGAGGAAAATATTCCCAGCCCTTCTGAAGCAACAGAGGGAGAATCGTTGAGTTTTTGCTGAGTGTTTGAAGACTGACTGCTACCAGAGAACAAGATACTTGGATGATATGAGTTACGACTGCAGATAATATCCAGGTTGTTTATCTCTGAATGGCAGAATGACCTTCATATTAAAACCACAGCAGCATTATCAAATAAAAACCAGTCAGAATAAATGCAGCAGATGTTCTTAGACATTCTCAGATATTATTACAGTACCTGCTGTAACCATGAATGATTTCTGAGGACAGCTCATGCATCGGCCCCTGATGGGCTCCGAGGCCCCGAAGGACAAGCTGGACGCCACCCTGGAGGACATGAAGCAATCCCTCGACCTGCTGGAGGAGAAGTTCCTGCAGGACAAGCCCTTCATCGTCGGGAACAAGATCTCTGTGGCAGATCTGGTGGCCATGGTGGAGATGATGCAGGTAATGATCTGAACACCTGGTTACCTGCTGCAGCAGCTGCTGCAGCAGCTGCTGCAGCAGCTGCTGCAGGTCGGCTCTCATTGCTACAGCTCATCTCACTCACACAGGAAATTAATCTGTTTTTAACTGACAATAACCGGACTACGTTTTAGTAGGATTTATATCATGTTTAAAGTCTATTTTCTTTAGATTAATTTTAAATATGATCTGTACTGAGTGTAAGTTCAGATCATCAGAGAAAAACGTTTTGCTTCACTTTTCCAGCCTCGTCTTTTATTCCACTCTGAGACCGACGGACATCATTCTTTAGCTCTGCAGCTAAAACTTAAAATCAGCTCTAATCTCTCCATACTTCTCCGCCCCCTGCTGGCCACTGGAGTAAATGCTGGATTCAGTTTATATAACCTACTAATATGTAAATAGACAAATTAAAACCTTTGTTGCATCAAAAAAGCTCAAAAAATGGAAACTAAAAACATTTACTAACCTTCTTATGGTTAATGTTTTAAATGTTCATCATTTATAATTATAAGGATGATTAAAATGTTTTATTTTTCAGATTTTCACTATCGCTTCAAACTGCAGACAACTACAAGCAGAGAGAACAATAACAAAGACAGTTATAGTTAATAACAGAAAAACTAAAGTCATTTCTATAAGATAAATCATGTCTCATGTTCTGTAAACTAAATCTAAGTGTTACATTTTCTATCAGCTATTTGGATCAAATTACAGAAGCTCCTCTGCTTTAAATGGCACCTAATGTGTAACATTTAGTTATTAAACTGAAGCAGTTTGCACTTCGTAGCAAACCGTCAAAATTTTACCACAAATTTAACCAGAATTTAAAGCCACAACAAAATATTCCTCCAGAAACGGCAAGAAGAAATAAACATTACTAATTAATATCAGTCTGACTGACATGACTAACATATTTAGTCATCTGGTGTTGATATGATAAATGTCCGATCCTGATCAGAGGCAGCTGTGGAAATGGTTTCAATGTATTGAAGAGATTTTTAATTTCTAGTTTAAATGATGAATGAATGCGTCGACTCCTGTTCTGAGCCGTCATGCTGATGTCTGCAGCCTCTGGGAGTCGGCGTGGATCCGTTCCAAGGCCGGCCCAAGCTGACGGCCTGGAGGGATCGAGTGAAGAAGGAGCTGGGAGTGAAGCTGGTTGACCAGGCCCACGAGGCGCTGCTGGACTCCAGCGGCCTGCAGCAGAAGATGCAGAACAACACAGAGCTCCAGAAGCTCAAACCCATGTTCCTCAAGTATTTCCGCTGAGAACACAGAAATAAAAATCTGATGTCTGGTTGTTTCTGCAGAACGCCTCCAAACGTTTAATCTGAAGGGCTGAGAAAGAACTGAACCATCATCCTGTTATTAAAGAGATTAAAACTGGAACTAAGAACTGTTCAATAAAATCATGAACAATATAAACTGATTTACAAAATGGTTTTTCTCTATTTTATAGCATCCAAACAGACAACAGGAGTTCAGTACAACTTACTGTTAGACACATTATTCCTTAAACAGCGATGTGTTCAGATGTTTGCTGATCTTCAGCAGAATGATGGATCTCTGAACGCTGTGATGCTGCTGTGATGCTGCTGTGATGCTGCTGTGATGCTGCTGTGATGCTGCTGTGATGCTGCTGTGATGCTGCTCTGTCTGTCGTCTGTTTGCGGCTCAGTGGATCCTGCAGGAGCCACACTGGATGTCTTTGTGTGCAACCATGAATCTCTGTCTTTGTTGGTCACTTTGTCCACACAATCTTCCTGTTCTGCTGCAAATAAGAACTTCTTTATTAGGATTCAGTTGCACTTTAATATGTTGATGTGTGAAAACAGAATCAGTTTCATCAGGTCTTTGGACCTGAAAGGAGACGGTTATGTTACCTGCAGGAGAAAACTGAATAAACATTTGTCAGAGTCTGAGGAGAAAAGTGTAAAATTTTAGACTTTTTTTCTTCTCCATCCAAGACATCAGACGTTTGAAAAAATCATTTTGTCCATTTAATCCAGATCACCATAAAGAACATAATTCATAAAATCTCCTACTTTATCTGCTTTAGGTCTAGATGATCATAATCTGAAAAATTATAAAGTTTCTGCAGTTAAAAATAATCTGTTCTTAATTCCTTAGTTTAGCTTATGTTTAAAACCACAGTTTTGGAATATAACTAGAACAAAATACTTAACATTATTTTTAACTCTAAATTAATTCAAAATGATGCTACCATCTTGGGTTTCGTTTAAAAACCTTGTTTTTGGGTCTTAAGACGTTTTCCAACGTGCATTTGATTCCAGGTGCCGAACAGCGCGAAATTTGTTAAAAATCTGGGCAATGCCGCCATCTAGTGGCCATTAAAATCGATGCAATGCTGCCATCTAGTGGCCATTAAAATCGATGCAATGCTGCCATCTAGTGGCCATTAAAATCGATGCAATGCTGCCATCTAGTGGCCATTAAAATCGGTGCGGAGAAGAATAGGAAGTAGTTGAAATAACCAATTCAAAATTATCAATTTACAGAAAAACATAATTTAATTTCAAAATAAATTATTATAATTAAAAGTTGGTAATTAATTATTTCAACCCGTGAATAAAATATTTCATCCACCATTGATTTAAGATTTTAGTTAAACTATTTTTCAGAGCTACTATCATAAATAATGATCTATTGTGTTGATCTGATCAGAATGTGGGTTAAAGACGCCGCAGCAGCTGTGAGGATCCGCAGCCGGACATGTGACCCGGTCCACAGGAAGAAGAGTCACACCGAGGTTCCTCCTGCGGTCCTCAACCCAAGTCCAGCCGACTCTCTGACACTCCTCTCGGCATGCCTTGCTGCGACCCGCTCGGCCTCTGTCAGTACCAAACCAGCAAGCTGGTCCGGATCCAGAGCGTCCGGCTCGGTTCGCTCAAATGGAGCCTGAACGGGGCGATCCTGCTGTTTATCTGGTGAGAAGAAATATTTCACACCCCCGCATCTTCCCGCAGGGAGAAGCTGCACTTTCTGCTGCATTTCACTGGTTCCGTTAGGATCATTTCACTGCTGAACGGTTCTGAAACCGACCCGTTCACTCCTGATCTGCTGCACTTGTTCTGAATTTAGATTTTAAAACACTTAAATAAAAGAATCGCCTCGTTTTGTAGCGTCTCAATCTGAATAAATAGTTTTTCTGCAGACAGTTGGATCTGAATTCATGGAAAAAGATGCAGAAACTGAATATTATTAAAGCAACTAATCTGCAATAACAGCTATGAAATGCAACTTAAATGTAGAAATAATTAAATTCAGCAAAATTAACTCTTAAATACAAAATCTAGATATAAAATCACGACTAAAAGTAAGTTTTGATTTTAGGGAGTTTACTAATAAAGACTTGCGCTGTTTACAGTTTTTACAGCTGATAAATTTAAAAGTTATTAAAAATAAACAGAAAATGGTTTCTGAGATCTTTGTGTTGATTTGATTCGTTTGGTTTTCTTCAGACATGATGATGTGGATTGTGATGATCGTTTCTGTTTTTCTCCATATTGTTTTTAGGGAGAAGACGTTTTTTTTCCAAACAAGTTGTATTATTAAAGTCTCTTTTTCCTGTTTTCCTGGCATAAACTTTAATATTGAACGTGATTAAGGTGTGTTTTTTCTATCTCAGCATCATGATGCTGTGGAACAGGAAGTACCAGGAGTTTGACCTGGTGGTGAGCTCCGTCACCACCAAGGTGAAGGGTGTGGCTCAGACTCACCTGACGGGGGTCGGGAACTTGTTGTGGGACGTGGCCGACTACAGCGGCTCCTCTCAGGTGGGAGATTCATTATCTGTAAAAAAATATATATTTATATTGCTGAAAAAAATTCAAAGACTTTTCTTCTTCTCTCTTTAGGACAGAAACTCCTTCTTTGTGATGACCAACGTTATTGTGACAAAGAATCAGAAGCAGGGAAAATGTGCAGAGGTGCTTTAAATATTAACTTGCAATGTTTTTGTTTTCTGTTATTTTATGTCTGTAAATTGTTTTGTTGTTTTAGCAACTAGGCAGCTGAAGATGCTTTACATGAAGAAAACAAAAACTATTTCCAAACAAAAAAACATCACAGTAACAAAATAAAGAGAAGTGATGAAAACTTTGAGTCTAGACTATTAATAAAATGGATTTAAAGGAAGTCAGTGTTTCAGCAGTTTCTTAGTTTTCTGGAAGTTTGTTCCAGATTAGAGGAACATAAAAACTGAGTGAAGCTTCTCCATGTTTGGTTCTGGTGGAAATGTGTAAAAACTTTAAAATGATCAAAAAGTCAAAAACCTGCAGAAGAAAATCACTTTAAGGATTATAAACTGGAAAATGACTGAACATCAGTGACATGTTGACATTCGATGCAGGTTTATCTCCTTCATTTGTATTTCACTCAGGTTGTGTGATTAAAGTGTTCAGCACCATAATAAAATTGGACTTAAGGTTCTGCCTGTTTGTCTCCCAGGTTCCCTCTAAAGGCCGGCTGTGTCGCTCGGATCAGGACTGTGAGGAAGGAGCCTGGGACCAGCAGAGTCACGGTAAACCCACTGGTTTCACTGGACGGCTGCAGAAACAGAAGTTTAAACAAACTGGATCCAGTTTCAGAGAATCAGCCTCAGTGTTGCTCCTTCACGTTAATCACTAACCTGCATGCAGGCTGCAGCTGCTGCACTAAACACATAGAATCTGTATTCATCCGGTTCCTGCTCTGCCGTTTGGTTCAGCTGCAGGAATCTTTCTGCGGTAACAAACTCAGGACCGTTTTCCTCCTGCAGGGATTCAGACCGGATCCTGCATCAGGTTTGATGTGATGAAGAAAACCTGTGAAGTTTCTGCTTGGTGTCCGATTGAAACCCAGACAAACCCTCCAAGGTCACTGAGTGTCTCTATTTATGTTTTTGATAGTTTTTTATAATAAAAACTATTCTTCTGAGTTTGCTCTTGTTTTTCTATCTTCTATTGAGAATGTCCTTTCAGTTGCACAATCTGCTTTTCTATTACACAGTATTGCAGTAATTTCACAATTGCACTTTTTTATTAAGTAAGAAATGCAAGTGAAATCACACATGAATAATTTTGTTCACATGATAAGTTATAGAAATCATGCCACGCCATCATTCTCCAACTACTTCCTGTTATCTTCGTCTTCATAGTTTCTGTCAGTGGTAACATTCAGTTGTTGATCATGTGATGCAAAAAAAATATTTCTGTTGCAATTTTGTGAAATAAACCAATTTCACACAAAAATGCACCTCATCTTAGCGCCAAAACTTTTTATCGACAAAATTTTTTTTTTTTTTTTTAAATTGGGGTTTTTCCATTAAGTGAATTTATTTTGAAAGAACTTCAGAAACTCTTAATAACTGTTGATCAAGACTGCAGGAACTGGTTTTGCCTAAGATGATTTAGGACTTTTACAGTTTTTTATGTGATAACAAACATTTATTTTTCAGACCTGCTCTGCTGGCAGCAGCTGAAAACTTCACCGTCCTCATCAAGAACAACATCAGATTTCCAGCCTTCAACTTCATCCGGTGAGACTCTGAAACTTTTTCAGGAACTTTTTCAACCTTCAGATCCATCAGATGCTTCCTCTCAGCCTTGAAAAACGATTTTAAATTCAGATTATGCACAACAAATGTTGTCTCAAGACCATTAACTAGGAATAAAGAATGGATGTAAAGAAGTTTATGGTCGGTTAAATTCAGCCGCCTGTTTCCTGACTCTCTGACTCTGGATCTGTCTCGCAGTCGGAACATCCTCCCTCAGATGAACGACGCCTACCTGAGGAGCTGCCACAGAGCCAACGACTCGCTCTGCCCCATCTTCCGACTGGGAGACATGGTGCGAGAGGCCGGGGAGAAGTTCTCCGACATGGCTGTGGAGGTAGAGGCGCTCTGCAGGAACCTCCAGAATGCTCTGGAAAACATTTTTTATCCGACCGGCTGAATGCAGGATGGGAGCAGAAAGATTTTCCTGTTTCCCTGTTTGGACCTTTGCTTGTCCTGAGAGAGAAATGAAACTGATGCTAAAAATAAAAACGGGAAGCAGTGACCTTCAGTTTGTGAGGCGAATGTTTAAAGGTTCCTGATGATGTTTTATCATTTTCACTCTGAACTAAAATGGGTTTTATTGACTTATTGAAGAAGAAGCATTTCTCCCGCCTGTTATATAAGTAAGAATTGAACACCTTTTTAAAACTGACTGACTTGCAGGAGGTGATTGTTTATTAACTCATTTTATGCTACATGTTCATTTAATTGTTATAGTTTGTAAAAATTATATTTTGCTTTGGCACTAAAGGTTTTTATTTTTGTGCTTTTTTGTAAAACCAAAAAAGCCATTTTCATGTTTGAAATTGAGAATTTTGTTCTAAAAATGAGAAAAAAGCTTCAACATTGACTCTAACAGCTTTAACCTCCTAAAGTAAAAGTAGTGATAACATCTCCAAAACGTAATATATCTACAGTAAAGCATGGTGGTGGCAGTGTGATGGTCTGGGGCTGGTTTGCTTCATGCAGAAAAGCCTGAAAATCAACAGCAAATATCGAAAATATTAAATTAGAAATGTGTAGGAGTCCTCGGGGTTAACTGTTATTTCCCCTGTTGGCCACAGGGGGGCGTCATCGGCATCCAAATCAAATGGGACTGCAACCTGGACCGGTTGATGCAGCGCTGCCTCCCCAGATACTCCTTCAGACGGCTGGATGAGAGGGAGAGCAACAAGACGCTTTACCCCGGACTCAACTTCAGGTGAAGGTCATCAGTTCATCAGTCGCCATGGAAACCGTGACAACAAAGAGTTTGAGTGATTAACACCTGGAGGTTCTGGCTGAATAGATTTGATGTAACAACAAAACTTGTTCTCGTTTCCTCAGGTTTGCGAAGTACAACACGGTGAACGGCGTGGAGGAGCGAACGCTCTACAAAGCCTTCGGGATCAGATTCGACATCATGGTGTTCGGACAGGTTGGTCTTTATCTGACCTTTAATTTAACGTTCCTGCTCTGGATCTTTGGGTTTGGAAGACGGTCAGATCTCTGACAGAAAAGGAGACGCTGTATTTAAAGAGATTAAAGATTCTTAAATGTTATGACCCTGATACAACAGAGTCATCTCCCTCATCCTTCAGTCCAACTTTCTTAATGTCCTGAAGTTTCTCAGACTGCTGCTGGTCCGTACCGTGGACGGGGTTATGCGTTGTTGATGGCCACTTTTTCCTGTTTCTGCTGTCAGGCCTTTATTTTGTAGTTTCCAATGAACTAAAGGATCATTAATGTTTAACTCTGGATGGTGGCTCTGACTCCTCCTCGTTGTTGTTCAACGTAACATTTCTGGTCCTCAAAATGTTTGGACAAAATGTCCGTATTAAGCAACACAATTTCCTGAAACAAGATGTTTTCTTGCTCTATTCTGATTGGTGGCAACATTTAAGGTCTGGTGTTTTTATTGATCCCAGAATTGGATAATTATTTCCACCCTGAGGAACTCCTGGCCTCCGTGTTTCTGAATGTTTGGTTGATGCTGTGGAGATAAAATCTAAGCGTTTGGTTTGTGTTCCAGGCGGGGAAGTTCAGCTTCATTCAGCTCATCGTCTACATCGGGTCAACGCTGTCGTACTACGCTCTGGTGAGGAGTCACACATCTACCGACGACGAAAACATTTCAGACTGACATGGACGGATCTGCAGTCCGTTTATGTTCACTGACTAGAGAAAGGCTTGTAATTACTTTCCCTACCACTAGATGTCACTAACGGCTCAGCATTTTGTGTCTGACATCAGAGACGATGTCCAGTGGTTCTGGAATAAAGTCGTTGATTTTCTCCAGTCTGTTTTAAACCCCCAGACGACGGTGTTGATCGACTGGCTGCTGGAAACCAGCTGCTATTCTGCAGACGTCGGACAGAACTACTCTGAGAGGAAAGTGGAGTCGGTCCCGGACTCGCAGCAGGTGAGGATGAGACCCGGCGTTGTTGGGCAAAGCGATCGGTACCTGAAGTCCATCATCCCTCTGCCCGTGTTGCAGTGCATCCTCTGCGTGTCGTACGTCGATGAAGAGAAGCTGCGGCTGGTCAAGAGGTCGCGCAAGAAGAGTCTCCAAAACATAAAACCCATGTCGGTTCTGCCACGCAAGGTAAAGCTGGTTCTCTAAGAAACCAGAACAGAACCGGTCCAAACCGGCATGAACCACTTCAACATGAAGTTACTGCAGTTTTAGGTTTTCCACTGTTCACACTGTAATTCATTTTAATACGTTTAATTTCAATCATTTCCAGCTGAATTTGATGGTGATTAGAAAACGCTGCAAAGACCTGAAAAACAAAATAGACTCAAACCAGGATCATGTTAAAACATCATAAATGTTTGTAATTTTTAAGGTTTTTCCATCAGAGTCATTGCAGCAGAGCTGGACTCGGGTTTTAGCTGCAGAACAAAACATTTAGTTTTTCTACCAGAACCAGAGCAGAGTAATGACTTTTCATTGTGGCTCATTCCACTGAGCCGTGCAGCACTGCTAACCTTTTTATGCTCAGACTTGTTCATTAGAGCTTTTCCAGTTGGTTCAACCCAAACATGTCACTCTAAATGTCTCATAATTCATAATCTGAGTTTCATTCCTGAAGCTGCAGACATTTCTGTCCCCTCTGCAGGACTCGGGACACCTGAGAGCCGCTCTCTGTCTCCTGCAGCCGGACGTCAACGCGGACGCTCAGCCTCCCCAGGACCAGAAACCGACCTCTGACCCCAAACGGCGCCAGCCAGGCTGGTGTAAATGCGGCTGCTGCACTTCCTCTGCCCTCCCCCAGGAGGAGCTGTGCTGCAGGCGGAGCGACGGCGCCTGCATCGCCTCGTCTCCTCCGTTCAGGCGGCTGGTGTTGGACCGCTGGCTGCTGCAGGCCGTCCTGCTCTACCAGGACCCTCTGTCTCCCCCTGCTGGCGGGGCGCAGCCCGCCGCCCTGCGCCACTGCGCCTACAGGCAGTTCATCAGCTGGAGGTTTGGGTTTCCTCCTGATGACTCCCACCCTGTCATCCCCAGCTGCTGCGTCCAGAGGATCAGGGAGGAATATCCCAGTCCAGACGGACGCTACAGCGGCTTCAGGCCCGTCAGAACCGTCTCTGTCCCGACCCGAAACAACAGGGAGCTCTGAAACACAGATACTAACAGCTTTCTGTTACTCTGAGATACTAAAAAGAAGAAATGTGTCAAGTTTGTTCAGTTTAGTGAAAAACTTCACAAAGCGAATAAATAATTTTGTCTAATATCGTCTGATGTTTCCTCGGTTTGAGACGTTTGAGGTTCTGGTTCTGGTTCTTCCAGTTTAGCTGCGGCTTTGTGTCGATGCATGAAATTTAAATTCAATTTAGAAAATACCTTATTGATCCCACAGGAAATCTTAGATGTGTTTTTAAAACGGACATGAAAACCTCTGATATTAAAAGTCAGTTCTCAGTTTTTTCCTGTTAATAAATGTTAAATGTGTAAAAACATAAATTAACTGTTTTCACTGCTCACATTTTTAACTGACTCCCTGCAACAAGCAGGAGGCAAAAATCACATTCATGATCAAATGGATTTAATGGGAAACCTGAAGCTTTTATTGGAGGAAAATAAACTGAAAAATCTGCAACAAAAAAAGAAAAAAGAGATTTACAAATGACAGATTTTTTTGAAAATAAACATTACAGCATCAGATAAACAAAGATCATCTTTCACTTACAGCTGAAGATAAAAACATTAAACTATTTAATGCTGAATTTAATTCAAGGGAAACTCAAGAGTTGATCTCTGTATTTATTGTTTCAGCAAATAATTTGTGTTCCTTTTCGAAGTTTAGATTAAAAACAATTTGATTATTAAAATGTAAGGCAGCTCTTTACCAACTGAACAAGGAAATTAAACTGCAGTAACAGAAGCACAGAATTCACCTGAAGTGTTACACAACAACCTGTCTGACTGGAAACGTCACTGAGAGGAAAATGAAAGTATTTTAACTGAGCTGAACGGAGCTGAGACGCCATTACAGGCTGGAGATCTGAGCTGAAACACGAATGTTTACTGGAATCTAAAGAAAAATCTGCAGAAACTTTGACTTGGTGAGTTCTGGTTCTGGAGGATTTCAGTCCAAAATGGCAGAGAGAGATCTTCTGGAACGTTACCTGAGCTGCCATGTTTGTTCAGAGACGTTCAGAGATCCTGTGTCTCTGAGCTGCAACCACAGCTTCTGTTCAAGCTGCCTGCAGAAATTCTGGGAACAAACTGGAAACAAGAACTGTCCCATCTGCAAAAGGAAATCTTCTAAGGATCCAGGAATAAACTTCTCTCTGAAGGAACTGGCTGAATCTTTCACTGGAAGACAGAAACCTGGATCATCAGAGACAGAAACAGGAGCAAAGCAGCTGATGGTCTGCAGTAAACACCAAGAAGACCCTAAACTGTTCTGTGAAGACGAGCAGAGAGCTGTGTGTCCTGTCTGTGACTTTTCTCTCCACCAGAGTCACAAAGTGGTTCCTGTTGAACAAGCAGTCAGAGATCTGAAGGAGCAGCTGGAATCTGACTTAAAGTCTCTGCAGGACAAGAGGAACAAACATGAACAAGTGGAGAAAACATACGATGATGTGATTCAACACTCCAAGAAGCAGCTGCTGTCCACAGAGAGACAGATCAGAGCAGAGTTCAACAAGCTCCACCAGTTCCTGAGAGAGGAAGAGGAGTCCAGACTGGCAGCTCTGAGGGAGGAAGAGGAGCAGAAGAGGAAGACTATCATGGGAGAGATGAAGAGGATTGAGGAGCAGATCTCCTCTCTGTCAGACAGCATCTCTGCTGTGGAAGAAGAGCTGCAGAAAGACAACGTGTCGTTCCTCAGCAGTTATAAAGCCACTCAGAGCAGAGCCAGAGGTCAGAGGTCACTGCCAGATCCACAGCTGGTCTCAGGAGCTCTGATAGATGTGGCCAAACACCTGGGCAACCTGTCCTTCAGAGTCTGGGAGAAGATGAAGGACCAGGTGAAGTTCAGCCCCGTCATTCTGGACCCAAACACAGCAAACGGTTGGCTCTCTCTGTCTGATGATCTGACCAGGGTGAGACGTGGCGACACATGGCAGCAACTTCCTGATAATCCAGAGAGAAACACTAAATACACCATTGTTTTTGGCTCTGAGGGTTTCAGCTCAGGGAAACACAGCTGGGAGGTGGAGGTGGGAGATCATCCCAGATGGAATATTGGTTTAGTTAAAGAGTCTGTTGACAGGAAGGGAGAGAGAGATGCTTCACCAAAATATGGAATCTGGTGTTTACTGCATGGTGATGGAAAATACACTAATGGTTCTGGTCAGACTGTGACAGTGAATAAGAGTCTCCAGAGGATCAGAGTCCAGCTGGACTATGACGGAGGGGAGGTTTCCTTCTACGACTCTGAAGAAAAGAGTCACATCTACACTTACAGTCACACTTTCACTGAGAAACTCTTCCCTTATTTCTGTGTTGGAAAATCTGCTGATGCCAAAACATCTGAGATCAAAATCTGTCAAACTGATATTTCTGTTTAAAGTTCAGAGTTTTGTGTTTTTAATTTCTGAATTATTTTTACACTTTCAGTTCAGTTTCTATCTACAGTCTGAACAATATTCTTATGAAATTATTAATAATCATCTTTGATTATTGAAGATTTTTTTTTATGTTTTTGAAAATCAGAATCTAAATGTGTTACTAAAAAAACTACCTTCAAAATTAAAACATCATTTAATAGATCTGCTGTTAATTTTGTGAAATTTATACAAAAATATGTTAATTTTTGAATGTTTTGATCTCAGTTTTTAATATAGGAGAAAATTTAGAAAATATTCAAGAAAATGTTTTTCAAACTGGACAAAATATTTTATCATCTGTTTTCATTCAATAATCTTTCTCACTATAATTTGACTTTTCTTCACATTCTATTATTTTTTTCTAACTGTTTTGTAAAAACTATTTACAGAATTTCATAAAGATCTCAGATTCTTAACTGGGTTTTCTTGTCTTTGTTGTTTTTAATTGTAATGATTCGTGTTAGCAGGAAAAATGAAAATTAATATTCAGATCCAGTTTCTCTGTTTTCTGTTCACTCAATTGATTTGTTTTTTATTCATCAATACACAATTTATTTACATAATATTAAACTGTTAAACTGAAAACCAAGTTTTGACTCTGAGGCAGTTTTTGTTTTTCCAGAAATGAGTTCATGTGCTGAAGTGGAGATGGAAACATATTTACTGAATAAGTTCTGATGTAGTGAAGATTTGACTCACCGGACTGATTAGTTTGTTTATCAGGACAGAAACATTTCTACCAATCAGGACTGTTTCTGTCCATATAAACTGTTTATAGAACATTAACAACTCATAGCAACACTTTCCTGAAAACCTTCCTCCATTTTCCCTGCTAGTTTTCAGCCTCCACTTCCTGTTTATTACAGTCATGTGTAAGAAACATCTGATGAAATTATTCTTTGTAGTCCAGGTTTGGTCAGCCATCTTGGTTTCCTGTTTTAGGTTTTTACATCCTAATATTCTGTATTTCAGTTTTCTGTCATTATTCTGCTCTGCTGGTTCTGATCCCACAAAGATCCTGAGCCTCATACATTCAGCCAGCATTGTGAAGGTTCAGCCAAGGTTAATGTGTTACTAAACAGTAACATATTAACCTTCTGATCTGGGAATGAAGTTGATAAAAGGTCAGAGGTCGTTGGTTTGTCTAGTTTGTCTTTATGC